ATGTCTGTGTCATTTGTTTTCTTCTTTTTCTTCTTTTCTGCTACCACCATCTTCTTCTTTATTTCTTCTATATGTGTCTTCATTCTCACAGATTTTGGTGGCTTTTCCTTTCTCTGAATTCTTTTCGGATCATCTATTTCAGTCTCTGGATCTCCTGCTTTGTGCTGCTATAGTTTCTCCTTCTCCATTTCCTCGCTGGTCATTTTGTGGTTCACCTATTTGCTGAACAGATAACATTCTATCTAAATTGATTTCTATTTTGTTGAATTCTGCCATAAGGTATTCCATGGCTTCCTCATTTTTTTATCCTTTTGAATTGAGTATTGTTGACTTCTTGGATAATATGTTTAAATCTCAACAATGAGCTTGTTGCAACTATTTTTTTTCTTATCTTTCAACATGTACCTTCATATTCTTTTTTCTCCACGGTCTAAGAAGTATTTGTCTGAAATTATGTTGATTTCCTTTTCAATGACTATTTTCAGGATATGAGAGCAGGGTATCCTATCTTTGCTGAATTTTGCACATATGCAGGTAAATTCTTCTTCGCCTTCTGTTAGGTCAGTGTTTACTGTATATCTCCTGAACCTATGAACCTCCTGAATCTGGTTACTTTTTTGCCACACCTGAAATGTTTTCCCATCTTTGGTTTCCATGTAGTTCAGCCTTGATGTTGCCTTCAGTTGTAGCTAGAACTTTTTCAATATATTTCTATTGTATAGCTGTTGTGCATGCTGCTCTATTCTATAGTCGAATATAAATTTCTTTATCCTTTTCTGCTTGCTATAGTTGTCCTCTAGCCTTTCTGCTTGATTTATAGTATCAACAATCCGATTGTACTCTTTTAGAAAGCTAATGATACTATAGATTGGCCCTACATTGTCTTTGAACCTCGTATTTGTTGCCTCACTTCTGGATGTGGTCTGTATGAAAGGGAAGAGGTTATTTTTATAGTAGACCAGGATAAACCTTTTTCTCATTTTCCACATTTTGGAAAAGTAGTGATTCCCTTGAAGGTTTCTTTCCTCAACCATTCTCTTCCAAAGTCGCTCAAATTCTCTCACTGTTAGACTATTGTTCACTATATCTTCGAAGTCTTCATATAGTCCTTTATTTGCTGCAAAGACCTTGACATTCTTATTGTAGCATTTGATCTTTATGTGGAACAAGCAATTTCTGTGCTTTGTGTTTATGAAGACTTACTCTATTACTGATTTCATCGTCATGTCTTGGTCTGTGATGATCGTTTGAGGGTGTTTTTCTCCCATTACTTCAAGAAAAGTTTAAATACCCACTTAAAAGTGTCCACTGTCTCATCATGCAGGAAAGCACGTCCAAAAAGGCAACTTTGCCCATGTCCTGTGATTCCAATAAATGGTGCAAAAGGTAAGTTGTATCGGTTGGTCATATATGTCGTGTCAAAACTTACATATTCTCCATAATCTGCATAATATTTCATAGAAGAATAGTCTGTCCAGAACAAGTTTCTTACTCTCTTGTCCTCATCTAAATCAAACATGTTCATTATCATCTGTTATAGCTGATATAATATCTGAACTTGTTGGTTCTGTTGCTATGATCCTCAAGTTATTTTCTCCCATTGTTGGTTGATCATCTTGATTTTCATACTGCACCTGTAAATATATTAGCAGCAGTCTTAGTTTATGAGTAAGGTCATTTATAATACAAATAATTTTTTTCAGTGTGCACTGAAATAGTTGAAGAGATCATTTTTTATGTACCTCATCAATGTCCATGTTATTAAATACATCAGTTTGCCAATGGTATTGTTGAATTTCAGATCTATCATCATTAGTTATGCTTGTCGTTGCTCCATCATCATCAGCGATGATTGCCATTTCTCCATCCTGTTTTTTGCAAAGATAAGTTTTACTTTGATGCCAGTACATATTTGTATTGCTTATAAATGTAATCAAATTGGCTTAGCTGTTTGTATCTACCTCATATGACAACCTTGATTCTGATATTGACTAGTCAGTTTGTGGTCCAAAGATTTTATCTAGATCTTCAAAGCTCATATTCTATTTTATATTTGATAATGAGAATGGTTACCATTTATAATATAACACAACTAGTTTGACAAGCATATATAATATAGTTTCACCTTATTCCATTCATTTCCAAGTATCATCTTTGTTAATGATCCATGCATCTCTTCATGTTGCTGCACAATTTATAATGAAGCACTGAAATTACAGTTCTGTTATGCTGAATGTACATTGCATATATGTGTGTAATTTGCATATGTCTGAATTATAATTTTTGTATACTGGTATTTATAAATTTTACCTACGTATTCCTATCAGTCTGATTATCCTCCTGAGAGTTCATCATCTGTTCCAGCATAAGTTTAGTGTAGCCTCCCTGCATTGAAATATATTTTAGTCCAAAAACAACATTTTTATCTTGGCTTTCCTAGGAGTAAGCAATGATTTTACTCACCTTTTTGTATCTGTAGAAATGGTCAGTGGAACAATTTGTGCCTCCAAATACTAGATATGGAGCTGACTGCACTGCCTTCATTACTTCTGTACAATGTGAGTTCATTAATGTTGAATAATCATCAACTCTGCTTGTTGTCATATACATACTATTCTGCTTCATAAAAAAAAGAGCACATGAGTACTTATTTTGCTTTTTATCAGATCTTTTTAATTTTTCATTGCATCTATGAAATATGTTTTTTACCTCAAGTAATTGATCAAACTAGACTGGTGCTTGTATCAAATGCATTAGGAAACCAAATGAATGCTGCAGTAAAATATAGAATTCATTAGTTGACATATTTTTATTGTTTATGACTGCATTTTAAATTATGAGTTATTTTACCTCATACATGTCCTTGGTGTTAACATCATTGTTGTTGTATCCTTGCACTTTCTCAAAATTCGGAATCTGATATTGTGGCTCTGACATTTGCTCCTGTTTTGTACCCTTGGTTGCAACAAATATCAGTTGTATTTTGAAATGTGCAATTTATTTTTCGGTATTCTGTATTTTTGTTTTCTAAGTTTCTTAATTTGTGAATCTGTAATTCTGATTCTTGAATTTGGTTGTAGAAAATATTAGCAGTCTTGAATTATATCTTTGTGAGGAAGTCGGTGTGCTTACCTTGGCTGTTGAGGTTAGTGGTTCCCCTTCAATATGTTGGTTGCTTGCCCCTTTCCTCTGCTCTGCTTGTCTCCACGCAGAGGAGATCTTTATCTTTGATCTGCTAGTTGTTTTCTTCTTTCCCCTACTCTGATCTCCACGCAGAGCAGATCTGATCTCCACGTAGATTCTTTCCTCTGTTTTCTTTGCTTCTTTTTCAAGTATACCTGTTATATTCCTATGGAATTCCTGTTTGTTGGGTTTATGGGCTACTACATGTTTAGTGGGCCTCTCTTTCATCTTAGTTATTGGGCTTTTCAATTACACAGAACTTACATCTAACAAACATCAACAGATATGGTCTGCGTGGGTCTTTTTTGTCGGATGAAATTTATGTGTGAGCTTACACATGTTTTTTTTTCCTTTTGTAATTTATGTGTTTTTTTAGGCAGCCAACAACCATGTACTAGCTTCTCCTAAAACATATGGTTTTATATCTGTTGAAATTCATGTATTTTTTAGGCAGTCAACCACCGTGTGCCAGCTCTTTGCCTGAAACACACGGTTTTACGGTAGATAGACTCTTATCGCGAGATAAGGGATCACATGTGTCGTGCTCCAGCCAGCGCCAAGGCGGCTACGAATGAGTTCAGTTTCTCGATTTTTGCCTCCTTTAGGGCAATGAATGAATGAATCCGACTTTTCTGATGCGAGAAGGTTGCAAGATGCACATGATCGAATCAAAACTGTTCACTGGGAATACATACATCAGTTCTGAATATCTTTTACCTTTTCATGTTCATATGCGGCCGTTCGTTCAGTAGCGAGGATACTGAAACTAGAGTTGCATCAGAAACTTTCAGCACACAACTCTGCATTGTCTTCCCAAACTACACCCAATCTAGTGAAATTGGTATTGCCGATCTCACAATGTTTGATGCCCGCAAGTCTCTATCGTTCTGCCAACGATGAAACCTTTTGTAATCGCGCTTTTCTGGGCATACTCACTTTCCGTTTCCATCAGTGAAAGGTTTTGAGCGGCAGCAGTTCATGCTTTGTTCATTTGGTATTCTGTTCGTTTTGAAATTCTTGCCAGTTTATTAGTCGTTACGGTTTTATCAGTCGGGGCTACCATTCATTGATCAATTTTTGGAAGGGTCCTCCAATGATGCGATCCATTCAGCTCACAGCCAAACTCGTTAGTAGCAGTAGCATAAACAAAAGATCCTGGCGAGTCTTTCACAACAAAGCGCAGACGCTGGAACAGCTGCTCAACACCATCATGCAAGAAACTCAGGCCTATCGACTAACAAGTTGTGAGATCAAACAAATAAAAGTTGCGACTAACAACTGTCTTAGGTACCTGACCCTGCTGAACAAATGACTCGCAAAAACACGGAAGGGGATGAGAAATACATCTTGTGATGCGCAAAGGCAGCAAAGCTGGAAGGATCGTTTTAAAAACCCACAGTGGTGTGGCCTTTCTCCAACCTAAACTTACCCTCCTTTGCTGAAAATATCAAGAAACGAATAGAAATAAGTTATGTTTTTAGCTTTAGCATTAGCACAAAAATGACGTAAGTAAACATGATTTTCCACAAACATGGACTCAGGAGTAAGGTACAGACAAAATCAGCAGCATCTATTCTTGCCATCAGTCCATCACCCAACAGAGATGAAGATGCTGATAACTACAATCAATATTACTTCGCAGAACCATTTATCATTAACTTCCATATAATGCTTTCAAAAGTTTTTAAGTACTGAACTTGAGAAGTCAATTCAAACTACTCCCAGGCAGTAGAACACATCAAATCTAACCACCATTACAGAAGAGTTGCTGAATTTTCAGAAACTATCTTAACAAAAGACGACAGCCAATTCTCATGTCACTGTCTCGGGACACCAATGCTTAAATGCTTTTGATTGCCGAAGAGATGATTTGCGAAGTTGTCAGAATTTCTGCTCTCGTAGTCCTCTACGCTATATCTGGGTACACTAAATTCTGAGCACCTGAATACGAAGGGAACAAGAAAATGAGATAATTAGGCAGCATGTCACCGGTGTTCCATCAGAGAGAAGTAATCAACACTGAACAAAAATAAAAAACAGTAGACAATCAGTTCCAAGATCAACAGATAACACTATTGGCTAACATGTGGAAGGATTGAATCATCTGAACGGGGATTAAGAATCTGTCAAAGGACTCATAAGTCCTAAGTCGCACTATGAATACTACTGACCTGAGAAATGAATCCTACAATTTAAGAACCTGATCAAATTAAGGTTCTGTCAAATGACTCCTAGTGCTACATGTCACTCTGAATATTACAGACCTGAGAGTCTGAGATTATTTCACTAGAATGCATCTGCTTGTCTACAACCTGCTTTAGATTATTCTAAACCAAAAGAAGTAAAACAATTACCTGAAGCATAAGTTGGCTAAAATGTAAAAAAGGCCAAAAAGCCAAGAAGGATACTAAATACACCAACTATTCAAAACTAAAGAATTTCTCTGAACATCTGGGCTATGGGAAAAACAGGCAAGTTACATTTCCTGTTGTCAGTATGATTTTACGACCTACTCAACATATATCATGCAGATACTTCTACTGATCTCTTTGCATAGCAAATTCTGAACTACAGATTACAGAACTACAGTGAGCTACAGACAATGTTACAAACCGTACATGTCACACTGCCATTACTTAGCTTGCTGATAAGTTTAAACATCGCACAAGCTGAAACGGTAAGATCAACAGATATCAAGTGCTGCACAGACCACTGAGAGAACTGCAGAGTTTCTCACCTTGTGATCCGGTGTTGAAGACGACGATGTCCATGGTATCTACGCTGCGAGGCAGGTCGGTGACCAGAGGGGTTAGCCGCCCTTGCAAGCCGGGCCGCACGGCCAGTGTGATGCCGTCCCCGTATTCCCCGCCAGGCTGGCGTATCCCCACCTGCATCCTCAGGTTGAACACGGAGCGGCCGTAGAAATGGAATGTGGGCCAATTATTATAGTTCTGGTTAAACTCCCCTTCGTCGTTCGCCCGCACGTGCCGGATCGTCCGCCGTTCATCCGCCTCGGGCCTGCGCCGCCGGAAGAGGCCACTGCGGCCTCCTAGATTCTGTAGAAACGTAACATTTTGTGTTTAGGAAAAATCAAACAGCTAGACAACAGCGGTGCTAGTAACTGAATGAACAAGTTTGAATACACAATTAGAACAAAATAAAAGTTCAGAGACCAAATAGCTCCAGTTATTGGTCGGAGACCAAATAACAGAATGAAATGTTCAGAAATCAAAATAACCCCAATTCATGTGATCTGGCAACTGGCAAGAAATGACCTCTACCAAAGAGCTCAAATCATTCAAGTACACGTCATGACAAAGAACTCCAATGGTGACCTTGACTAGACTTTCCAGATATCATGATCAGATCCAAATTGACGAAGGACAGAGAAAATCTTAAAGCAACCACAATCTAGAATAGACGGTAGTTTCTGGATAACTGGCTGCAAATAGGAAGGCGAACAGGATTAATATGGTAAAAAAACATCTCCCTAAAGCGAACCAAATTAATGCAGAGGCTCCCTAAAGCGATTACAAATATGGCACCCTAGGAGCGTGGGCTACAGAATCAGATCGAACTTTCGGGCGACTGACAGCAACCATCACCGTGAACTCGTCAGGAAAAATTAAGTGATTAACAGGTTCAATCTTCTTGTGAAAGAAGTTGATAGTTCCAGTTCTAGTAAGCGCTGAATTCGATCAAAATGAACGGAAGGATTGCGCCCAGGAGAACGCAACAATCATACTGTGCTGTTGTTGCGAAAATCGACGCCACGAAGAAACCCGTTCCAACTTCCAAGTAACTCGTTCACGGAATCAAGGCGAGGGGTTCCAACTTTCAAGGAGAAAGGATACCGAACTCACCACAGTCGGACGTGGAAGGGGTGGCAGCCCCGGTCCCAGCTGGAATCTGCCGACCGTCCACTGCATCATCGTGGTCCACCTGCCTTCGTTGGTATCGACGGTGACGGCGGTGTGCCAGAAGCGGAACCTGCCGTTGGCGCGGAGGTTGCGGTTGAAGTCGTGGCGCAGGCGGACATATCTCGCGTCGTCGACCATCCTGAAGGGCCTCCACATGAGGGTGCCCACGTCGGCCCCTTCGTAGTCGCGCTGGACGGCGCGGTTGCCGTGGTGGCCGGGCGGCGCCTCGGCGGGCGAGATCGCGAGGTAGCGGCCGTAGGCGGCGCCCTGGAGGAGGACGAAGGTGGCCCCGTCGACCTCGACGCGGTGCACCCGCCACACCGCGTTCAGGGAGAAGGCGGGGCCGTGCGGGCGCAGGGAGACCCCCTCCCCGTCGTGGTCGGCGTGGAGGTACGTCTGCTGCGCGCGGTTCCGCAGCCGCACGAAGGCCCCGTCGGGGAAGAGGTCCATCGCAGAGACTGCCGCCGGCAACTGCCGACGACCGGCGGCGGCCTGCATTTCCGGAGGGGATTAGGACGGGGAGGGGGAGGCGAGAGGCGAGAGGCGAGAGCAGAGCAGGTGTTCGTTGGGATGGGACGGTTACGTTTGGGTTTGGGCGCCACGCCGAGGCGGAGGTGGGGTATTTCAAGTTCAAGGCGTGGCTTCTGGAGTCTGGGACTCGCGAGCGCAGGTCGGTTGCGCTCGTGCCTCCTTTCACCGACATGTGGGGCCACTGCTGGGCCCGGATACGAGGCGGCCAGCCGTCGCCTCCCCCAGTCGCCAGCTGGCGAATACGCCTTGGCTGCTGCCGCGCAAACTCAGTTAGGCCGTTGGGCGTGGCGACTGGCGAGACCCATCGCGCATCGCGGCGGCATCACGAGCCCGGGCGTCAGGATCAGCAAGGAGAGCTACTTCACCCGGCCCGGCGGCCGCACGCGCTCACCAAGCTCACCGCCTCACCGGCGTCTACCACGAGTGGGTCCGCTGGTGTGAGCAAGGCAAACGAGGGTTTCGTCGCGCGCCGGCGTGCTGCGGCTACGGCGACGCCACCAACGGCTATGACGGTTGACGATGTCATCGACTCATCTCGTGTCCTGTGCTCGTGTCACAGTTCCGTTTCCATCTTTAGGGAGTCCACGCGCTGTAGCTTATAAATCTGCGTTGCCTAATATCAACGGTGCACTTCCTCATTAAAACAAAAATTAGGCAGTAACTACAACCAGTGTTACTGTGCAAAATTTTTAAGGCATTATTCCCGCTACATGCTTTCACCTATCTGCAAGTTCCGAAACTTCAAGGCATGTTCACTTGAACTTATCAGCCGGCTTATCAGCTAAAATCTACAGTATTTTTCTCTCACAACAAAACAGCTTTCGTCGGTTTATTAGCCGGCTCTAATACCAGCCGAACAGGCCCTAAAAGGCCGGTTCAAACCGCCTCTAGACAATAAATATTTTGAATCAAATGGGAAGGGTATTTCAAGTGTTTCAACTCTTCGTGCTAAATCAGACAGTAGTAATTCAGTACGGAGTAGTAATCCACCGTCTACTTTCAGTTGCGAGGGTGCTGAAAGTAGGAAACGTCCAAGATATTTGAGTACAACTCTCCCACCAGAACTTCTCAAATCAGTTCTGGAGCAAACAACCTATATCTGATCCCGAACTTTTTTATTTTTTCGCCCTTTTTTAAAAAAAATTCACAAATATGCATCTGGAGGTATGATTTCAAAATCTAGACCCTTAGCTTGGCGCCATGTTGCTGGCGCCGAGCTTACACGTCTCGGCGCCATCGTTGCTGGCGCCGAGATCTTGGGCTCGACGCAGACGTGGCGGTGACTTGGCAGACAGCTCGGCGCCGTAGATCTTGGCGCCGAGCTTTGCGCCATGGTTATTGACGTCAAACCTGTCTTACGTATGGGACCTCCCTTCCTTTCTCTCTTCCTCTCTCTCGCTTAACCAACAACCCGCGCTTGCCGCCGCCGCTGCGCCCACGCGCGGCCATCACCGCCGGCGGCCGTGCCGCCCCCGCGCCAGTTTGTCCGCTTTCGCCCGACTCGCCCACCGCCATCCGCCTGCTGCCGTGATCATGCGCCCGCCGCCGCTGCCGCCGCTGCATGGAGAGCCGCCATCCATCGCCGCCATGCAGCCACCGCCGACCCCAGCCCCTGCAGCGCCCGACCGTGCCACCGCCGGCCCGGCTCGTCGGCCTCACCCACACCCGGTGTCCGCTACGACTCCATCATGGGGACATCGATCCCAACGTCCGCTGCGACTCCATCGACGTCCGCGACTCCGTCGTCGGACAGGTAAAAATTGTGAATATGCAATGTACGTATTTAGTTAGCTTTGATTGTAGTGTAGTAGTTTTGGCATTTGTTATTTACTAGTTAATGTGATGACTCAGGTAGTTGATTTAGTTAGTGATCTAGTGAGATAGATATGTAGATAGATAGAAACATAGATACATAGGTATATAGATACATAGATACAGTTTGATAGCTACTTAGATAGGTAGTTATATATTTAGTTAACTAAATAGGATTTAGCTATTTAGTGAGTACAACGTATCTATGTACGTAGTTATTATCTTATTTACTTAGTTTGTAGTTAGAAAGCACTTGTTAGGTACTATCTATCGTCTAATTTGGACTAAAGGACATGCATTTCGTTACGTGTTTGAACTAGATAGACAATCTAGTGAGCATATATCATGGAGGCACAGTGGAAAAAGATCGCTATGGATATATTGAATTTGTTAAGATGCAAAGCGTGCCTGTGTAATTCAATGAGAAGCCATCGTTTAGTAAGTTGGTTGCAAGGGCACGGGAGGAGCTACATTGCCATAGAGTTGATGCGTCACTCGGTGGATGCGTGTACCTGCTCCAGTTGTGGATGTGGGCTCGTCTACCAGTTGGTCGTCCCGAGGTTCTGGCTCGTCATGAGTGGTTCCCAGGTCAGCCTCCACGTCGACAGCCGACGTGGGCGTACCTTTGGGACCAGGTTAGGGTTCCGCACGTGAGGTTACAGCAGGCGTACATTGAGTTCACGAACGAGCTTGACACGCTCACGGCGTCTAGTGTAAGTAAATTTTATTTCTCATGCTGGTTTGAAATGGTTTAGTATAGCATTTAACATCTTGTTTGGACATGTTGCAGGTGTCGTGGGAGCCGTACGATGGAGAGGGGGCACTTCCTTTTCAGTTGAGCAACATGTGTGGGTGCGACGACGACTTCTATAGGATGAGATGCCCTCTAATCTGTTTCTATGCTGTCGAGTTCCACCTGCCAGATAGAGTTGCACGCCAATTTGGAGTGAGACAACTTTGGTCAACGGCTCCGTTCACGACTGACGTTGACTTACACAAGTAAGTGTTTTGCTATTTCAATTGTCTTGTGATGGTCCATTTCTATTAATATGGTGACATGTACATGGATTCAAGTAATGATGACATACGTGCAGGTTGTATCATCAAAAGAATAGAAAGATTTTTGACTGAGAGAAGCACCACCAGTACTACATTGAGCAATGGGAGCTGTTGCACGACAACGTGGACGAGAACAACGAGCCACACACGAACCGTGAGTTCAGGCGCTACCAAGCTTGGTACCAACGTGCGACACGTTGCAGGCTGAGGCTACAATGGACAGAAGATGACTACGCCGACATCGAGTCCTCTAACAATGAAGACACGGCATACGACCAATCTACTCGTGCAGGAAGGCAGGTGGAGGTAGGACCAATCTTGGACCGAGTGGTAAGTCAATTGCCTTATTTTTCTATGATAAATTGCATACCAATACATTATGCGTTAGAGGTATCTATTTTAGTTAGTGCCACCTTCGAGCCGTAGCATCCTTATAATACGTTAGATTCTTGTACAAAAGAAAACAAAACATGTTGCTATATGTTGAGAAGTATTATTACTGAGAACTTTGTTGCAGGGCAATACTCTCAAATGCTTCGTTGAAGACATTGGGTGCTTTCGTCCGAGAGTCAGGGACGACGACACGCGTAGCTTCCTAGACGTAAGATTCAAAATATTCTTTCAAACATATTATTAATACGTTAAATTCTTTCAGTTAACATAATTTTGTACAACAGAGGCTGTCACGTCAGCTACGTCGTACGGCTGCTCGTTGTGGTTGCGGGACAGCCATGACGCAAGACGTGTATGTTCCTACCACAGGCAGAGGAGGCTTAGGTTCCTCTAGCCAAGCACCTACAGGGGACAACGACGAGGACGATGACGACGACGATGTGGACTAGAGGCACGAGGAGCTTGGCCCCTCTCAGCTCCAGGACGCTCCCTCGACTCAGCCTACACAGCCTTCAGGCACTAGGCGACGTCGTCCACCTGACCCTTACACTCCAGATACCAGCACTCTTGGTCATAAGGGTAAGGGTAAGATTAGGAGGCAGTGAGGGTTTGTGGTAGATGTTAGTATATACTATTATGGATTTTGTAGTTACTTTCCTATAACTATTTAGGACTGTATGGATATTATGGACTATTTGAACTATGCAGTATATTGTATGTTGATTGTGATGTTCGATGTGGTTGTATTGTGCTCTTTGGACGATTAAATGTTTGGATCATATAATGATGTCTCTGTTTGTAACTGTGGATGCTCCTAAAATAAGGGAAACTCTTGTGAATTTTTTCCGTGAATCATTAAGTATACTACACTGCTAAAAAGGCATAAATATAGTACACAGATTAAATGTAAATTCATTAGAACGTGTATAATACAATCATATCATACAGACGCTTTGCAGATGAATCTAGGCTTTTCAGTAACAGTGAATGAATCTAAGCTTTTCAGACAATAAAAATAGACTTTTCAGTTACAAGGACGAGGAGTATGATGACAGCAGCGATTTATCACTTCACTTATATAGTACACCTATAGCATCTAGGCTTTTCAGTAACAGCGAATAAATCTGGGCTTTTTAGACATTGAAAATAGACTTTTCAGTTACAAGGACGAGGAGTACGATGACAGCAGCGATTTATCACTTCACTTACATAGTACACCTATAGGATCTATGTTTTTTCAGTGATTTATCATGTCAACAACAAATAGACTTTTTAGAAAATGAATCTAGGCTTTCCAGTGTCCATTGAAATAGCCTCTTCAGTGAAACTAATTAGGCTTCTTGTGACCAGTTATAACACATTTAAACGGCAACTAAACCTGCCTATGCCTATATGTACGCAATGCTGGATGCATTGCTACTTACTTTCCAACTAGTATTTTCTTTTGTTGCAATATCAATATCTGGAGGGTCGTCTAGAGGGAGAAGAAAGGGGAAGGGAATTACCATTGTGTGGGAGGGTTCTCTTGGTCCCGATTTCTTTGAGGAAGCTCTTTATGATAGGTTCCCAGTTAAGAGGAAAAGTGATTTTTACCAAAGAGGCACCACTGAGAGGATACGATGAACGAAAAGAAGAGTGACCAAAATGCATGCATGGTGAGGACTGCCTAGTGCAGATATTCACCGAAGAAATAGATGGAGGTC